GCACACCTGCCACGGATTCACCCCCAAGCTCCGGGGGCGGGGCCGCACCAGGGGCAGCAAGGGGGCCTTCCCTGTCTTTCTTTGCAGAGGAGGCCCCACAGGGGCCAGGTGTGATGGGCAGAGGGGCCACTGGGAGGCGCTGAGAAGGGTAAGAGGTGACTCCACCACACGCTTTGGCCTCTGTCTCTGGGCCTGTGTGCCCCAGGTGTTGTGGCGAGCAGTCTTCTCTCCAGGGTGGTGGTGAGAGCAGCCCAGCATGGGGCCCAGGATGGGCAGACAGGAGGCACCTTAGCAGTGAGAATGAGGACCTCACCAAACAGAGCAGTGCGAAGGAATGTGCTCCGTGGAAATCATGTATTAAAATCCCGTAATCACTGTGTCAAATGTGATCTTAAAGAGCACCTTCAGTGCCATTAGACCAGCTGTTTCTCCTACAGACAAAACTCTGGCCTTCCCAGCTTCTCCAGGGGCGGAGGGCTGTAAGGACGGGAAGCCTTGATATGTAGCATTCACCAATTTCTACGGTGGCAATACTCCCAGCACAACAGAGTTGGGAAGAGATGCACAGAATCCCATGACACAGTATTTCCACCACACGGGTTCTATATACATCAGTAACCCCCAAAGCATAAACTATAGCAACAGGAAGGAATTACCTTTGCCTTTTATATAACTTAACTCTAAGTTTATACATTCAGTTTTCAGTAGTTGTGCTGAACAGCCAGCTCACAAAATCCCTGAAAATTAACAATTGGCTCTTGCTAGCTGGGCCAGTGGAAACGGAAGCCAGCGTCCCAGACCTCCCCACCAGCCGAGGACAATGGCATAACGAGAGAATGGTCTTGCTTGCCAGTACCAGGCAACTCCAAGACAGTTTGCACTACCTTCCTAGCAAGGTGTACTCTCTGGTTTTCTCTTGATTCGGCAACGGTTACAAGTTTGGCACAGGCTCCTATCCCTTCCCACCCTGCAGAGCGGCTTCCTGAAGAACCGCTGGCTGGCTGTGTTCATCACTGGGAGTTGGCAGGAGCCAGCAACCCAAGCAGCGAGCACCTGTTCCATGGAGAGGGGTGTATAGGTCAGCCCCAGGCCTCTGACGGGAATTTCGTCTTAACAGTCATGAGGGCCACGTGTACAGGTGCGTGATGAGCCTTTCCAGGAGCTTGGCCCAGAGACCACAGTAATCACTAGGCCTCCTGGGCTCAGGTTTATTATTATTTTGTTGTTGTTTTTCTTGTGCTCTTGGTTAGTTTTATTGAAAATAACTACACGAAAGTGCACACATTTTAAAAATATACCACTCCACGAATTTTCCAAATGATCCTTTCAGGGAAGCAGCACTCAGCTGAAGCGATCCATTTCCAGAGCCCTGGTGGACAACCTTGTGCCCTTCCCATCAGCAGCATCACCTCAGAGGTGACCATGACTCTGGCCTCTCCCATTTTGCTTCCTTGTTTTTGAAATTCACATATAGGGAATCCTATATGGACAATTTGTCCATTTTGGGTTGTCTGTAGAGTTCCAGTTGCTCCTCATCTTCATTAACACTTGATAGTGTCAGTCCTCTTTATATTAGCCATCCTGGCAGGGATCTAGCAGCAGCTCATTCCGGTTTTCACACTTCCCTGATGATGGATATTGAATAAATTTGGCTATTAAAATGCTTGTTAACTATCTGGATATTTGTGAAGTGGCCAAATTACTTGTTCATTTCTAAATACACTTTTTATTGATATGTGACATTTTTATGTTCTGGGTCCTTCATTGGATTTTTCCACTTCATAGCTTGACTTCTCTCTTAAAGGTAATTTGATAATGAGTTAACTGTAATGACATTCAATTTATCATTTTTTTACCCATATGGTGTTTTTTGTGTCCCAATAAATCTTTGCCTAGTCCAAGGCCAGGAGATTGTCTGTTTTCTTCAGAAGCCTGATTATTTCACTTTCCACATTTAGGATTATGATCCATTTGGAGTTCATGTTTATGTATGGTATGAGGTCAAGGTTCACTTTTTTCCATATGTACATCCAAAATTGTTTTTTCTGATTGATGGTCGTCTCATTAGGATTTTGCTGTTTCCAAGTGTTAATTCCTGCGTTTTTGCTAAGTATTTTATCTTTTTTCCCCTTTTTAGAGACCGTGTGCAATGTGCGCAGTGGGGAGAGGGGCTGTCAAGGAAAAAGGAGAGAGAATCTTAAGCATTCTCCACGCCCAGTATGGAGCATGTTGCGGAGCTCAGTCTCATGACCCTGAGAACATGACCTGAGCTGAAATCAAGAGTCAGACTAAACCAACTGAGCCTCAGAGGTACCCCCTTTTCTTTCACTCTTAAAGGGAAAATAGGGACAGACAGTATAATCTGGAGGCAATGAGAAAGTGAATGAGCACAGTTCTTACCCCAAAACAGGAAGTCAGGATCACACACCATCTCCATTAGGATTAACCTTGCCTGGACCCCTCCTATGCTCCAGTACAAATACCCGCGGTGAGCCAACCATAGAGCTTTGGTCCTCAGCCTCAATAGCCTGGAATGGCTGCCTCAAGACTGCTCATCCAGGTCATCTGTGGTGAAACCCACAGGTTAAATTATCCTTTGCTGTATCATCACAATGCCCACAGTCATCTTAGGGAGATTTCAAGAACAAATCTGTATTGTTCAAATTAACGTTGAGGTGAACTGATTTCTTCTGCTCTCTTGTCCACTTGATCACATTCCAAAGTCTGGGCTACACTGAAGAACTTTACTTCCTAATCTAACAAAGCCCTTCTTATAAGACCACCAAACTCTCTCCCTATGCTATTTCCAGGCCCTCTTTTTTTTTTTTTAAGGATTTTATTTATTTGAGAGAGAGAACACAAGCGGGGGTGGGGGTGCAGAGGGAGAATCAGGCTCCCCGCTGAGCAGAGAGCCTGACATGGGGCGATTCCAGAACCCTGGACCATGACCTGAGCCAAAGGCAGAGGCTTAACCAACTGAGCCACCCAGGCACCCCTCTAGGCCCTAATCTTAGGAACAGTTACTAGCTTCCTTTTATCAAGGATTTGTTAGGCCCTATGCTAAACACTTTAGGAGATTATTAATATTATTATTAATCTATATACCTACTACTTCAAAGCCTTTCTTACCATCAGGACTCACACCATATAGTGTCTGTTCAGCTGGAAAACAAGTTTCAGAGTGCTGGTTTCTTGTTCACTGTTGTATCAAAACAAATAGCCCAGTGCCCCACAACTGGATATACTCAATACACACTCATTTTCATTGGCTTCCAGGCCTTGCCATTCCATCCTTCTCAGCAAACCACTTAAGGTATAGGACTACCTGAAGGTAGACTCCCCTCTCAGATCCTTGGCAGAACAAAGAGGAGAAAATAAAAAAGGGATTAGACATGACTGATGATTAACTATTTTTACAATTTTTCTTTTAATATAGTTTGATTAAAACTTAGAATACCTAAATGTATTTCCTATTTCTTTCATGAAGGACCATATTGGAGATGTTTTAGGTCCTCATTCTGACCAACTTTACAATCTACTTTTTATCAGCCTCATTACTAAGTATCTCTTATGGTAGGAGGAGTTTCCACATTTGCTACTATCTCATCTGCCAGGTTTTTTTTTTTTTTTTTTTTAAAGATTTTATTTATTTGACAGAGCGAGCGAGAGAGGAACACAAGTTTGGTGGGGGAGTGGGGGAAAGAGAAGCAAGCTTCCCGCAGAGCAGGTAACCCAACGTGGGTCTCGATTCCAGGACACTGAGATCATGACCTGAGCCGAAGGCAGACCCTTAATGACTGAGCCACCCAGGCACCCCTGCCAGTTTCTTTTAATCCATGTCTTCAGAGAGAGTCAACTGAGTGAAAAACTATCTAAAATAGCTTCATTGCTTCAGTGCCGTGGTGTGAACACTTTTGCCCACATGCCTCCACTACAGTCTTAGAAATTACTTTAAAAATGTAGTAACAGGGGGCACCTGGGTGGCTCAGTGGATTAAGCCTCTGCCTTCGGCTCAGGTCATGATCTCAGGGTTCTGGGATCGAGCCCCACATCAGGCTCTCTGCTCAGCAGGGAGCCTGCTTCCTCCTCTCTCTCTGCCTGCCTGTCTGCCTACTTATGATCTCTATCTGTCAAAAAATGAATAAAATCTTTTTCTTTTTTAAGATGTTATTTATTTATTTGACAGAGAGAGATCACAAGTAGACAGAGAGGCAGGCAGAGAGAGAGAGGGAAGCAGGCTTCCTGCCGAGCAGAGAGCCCGATATGGGACTCGATCCCAGGACCCCGAGATCACGACCCGAGCCGAAGGCAGCGGCTTAACCCACTGAGCCACCCAGGCGCCCCATGAATAAAATCTTTAAAAAAAAAAAATGTAGTAACACTTTGCATTGCTAGGGCACCATTTCAATTTTCTACTGGATTTCCCATTATTTATAGCATAGATTAAGCTGCTCAGCAGAGAAAACAATTTAAACTCTTAGGAATAGTCATTGTTTTAAGTTATGTGTTATTTTGAATTAAATGTTATCAGATTAAAAACATACACTGATAATACTGGTTTTCTTTCATCATCTCTTAGTGCTCACCAGATTCTCCAAAAGAGAAACCCTACTACTCAGCCTCAGTCGTACATGAATCGATAAGCGCCTCAAAGGAAAATGGATACTGAGGAATGTAATTTGATTAGCTTCAACATTCTTATATGTGTTCATAAGAAAAATCTTATATTAGCTAAAACAGTAAACTATCATCTGTATATAAACTTCCTATTCACAAATAAAATAGCCAATCATGTGAACTTGAGTTTAGCAAACTTTATTTAGCCACAGAGGGATGTTTTTTGATCCAGGCTCTAAAATTCGTAATATTCTTGGTTAGACTCTTTGGATGTATCATGGCTCCTCTTTTCCAAATGAAGATAATGTATGTGTCTTGAATTTTCTAGAATTCTTTTTTAAAATTTTTTGAGGAAAATGGACAAGCATGACAGTAAACTGGTATTATTTTAGAATGTTCTTTATTTTGAAACTTACACCAGGACATATGTAAGGCATGTTCACAATATTTGTTTGATGTACAAAACACATTTTCTCACTCTCCAGCGGCTCTTCTTTTCCTTTGTACCTGCTGCTACAAACTGGTCCCTACATATCTACCTACAGTTCTGTTCTTGTGAACATGTAGACAATGTTTCAGGGACCTGCAAGGAGAATCTGCCTCAAAATAAAGAGTGAGCATCTATAGACTAAGTCACTAAGACATCAAAACTCACAAGCAACCAAGGCTGAGGAAGGTGACCAAATTAGTTCACGAATCTGGGACTGTGAGCTTCCAGAGGAACAAAGAACCCAATGAAAACATTTTGTTGATGTCTGAGAGAAATGGAATGTGTCCAGAATTCACATTTCTATATTTACCACTGACTACAAATCACTAAAGAGATCTAGTATTTTAGCAGATTCTAATGCAGTTAAAGTTTTGTTCTCACACCACAGTATAAGAGTGCATGCATTACTTCACACAAATGTCAAACACAGAACAAGTGAAACACGGACACCTAGGACGGCCTAACTACACAAGTGCCTCTTTCTGGTGGTGGGATAAGGGAGGGGAATCATAGTGACTATTTCCCTATGGTGCCTACTATGTGTTAGACAAAGATACCCAAACATTCGTCTTCTAACTCATGAAAAAGGACAAATGCTGCCAGTAAGAGTAAGATATTTGAAGAAGTTCCAAATGTGGGATTGGGTGATGAATACGTAGCCTCAATTTTCAAGGCAAAAAAAAGTCTTGGCTGACACTAATAAGAAATCAGACTATATCTTTTGGGTGATGAAAAATAAGCTCTTTATAAATCTACTGGGGGGAATAAAATAATGAAATGAAAAAGCAAAAGCACATGGTGTCTCATGAAAAGAAGATTTGAATATTTTGGTTTAAATCAGCCGACATGTTACCATGTACTAGAGATTATTAAAATGTGTTTGCTTAAGCCCATTTAAATGCAGAATCTTTGAGGAAAAATGTAGGCATGTTATAAGGAATACTGACTTGTAAAAATTTTAACCTGGGGGACTTTAATAGGTCAGAATACTTTAAATTCAAGTACTGCTTTGAGGTGCTCACAACACTTCCCAAAAGAAGCCTTCCAACTCAGAAGGCACCTCTGTAAGCAGCCCCAACAATTTAGGAATGTGGCTACACATAATTTTACTAGCCACTATATGTTATTACTGAAGTGTTTAATAAGAGCAGGGAAATTTCCATCAATTGTATTAAAGATTTCTACTTATTAGCACTACGACACACAGTGCAAAGAATCTTCAAATGTTTGCTTTTTATACCAAGAGTAATATATTGTTATTCTTCCAATTCAACAAAACAGTAAATTACTCTTCAGTGAACTTTGTGACTACCTAGGAAAGCAGGCTGGCCTCTTCCAGAAGGTGCTGGCTACTCTTCTTACAGGAGATCCTGAGCAAGGCAGGCTGGGCAAGAGCTCTGCCCCTTCAGCCACTGCTTAAAGCACTGAAAATGAGAAAATGAAATCAGTCAGTGTCTTCAGGAACATGGGGAGCCTTAGTTCCCCCTTGCTGCTCCTCAACAGACATGGTTAAGTTCACCTCCATGTCTGGTGGGGCCTGGAGCTGCCCAACACTCAGGAACACTTATGCCTACTCAAGAGTGAAGTGTGCCCCAAGCCCTAGGAACAAATCATCTTGCCTCAGAATCTGACCCATGGACTCTGGGCTTCTAACCTGATCTTAGGCGGACGGCCTTGTCCCTCCACTTTCCCTAACACTCCAGCTTCAGTCTTGGCATTTCATTCCAGGGGTTGGCATTTTCTTGGTCCTGAGACTCACCCAATTTCTAACCGATTCTCTCTCTGCCTGATCTTGATTCTTGTACCTCCCACGAGCCTCCATACCACATCCTTCACTGGAAACTTTCTACCCACTGTGGTCCCAAGTTGCTTGTGGCTGCCTGTTGCTGCTAAGAGCTGGGTGTGTGTGTTAAGTCTGAGAGCCCAAGTACAACACCCCTAAACCTGCAGGAGACAGGCCATGCAAGAGACTGTGAGCTGTCTTGACTCCTCCTAGTAAGTATATTGTTTTTATCCCTTTTTTCAAGGGATTAATAAACTGACATGGCAGAGACCTAACCAGAAGCAGGCATGGAGAATTAATGCCCACAGCATCCAAAATATTTATCGAAAGATCTTGAAAATTTATAAGACAGGATCTCCCAGGATCAAGCACAATGGGCCCAGTTAGGTTTAGCTTTTCTCCTCTAAAATGTTAAATGTACTTCATATACTGCACTAAATCGACAAAATGTTGCACTGTGCATCTATGCATCCATGTGTGTAAGAAAGTACCTTTCAAAAAACAAATATTGTTTTGAATTTCAGCACCAACATATTTGAGGGAGCCGACTAGGACTGTTCTCCTCCACCCATGATGTGATGGATGGAAAGGACAGTGTGCAGAACTGCACACCCCAGAGCCCAGGAGGTCTCTCCCCTTTTCCACAGCAGCAATCTTTGAAAAGGGAGACAATGGACACTGGCACAAGGAGGCTTATGCAGAAAGTGCTCTGAAAACACAAGAAGTGTTGACACTGAGGGAAAAAAAAGTCCCTTTTTATGTTCAAAATACTTAACAGTCAAAATCCATGATTATCAGGATGGCCAAAGAGAATTCTTACCCCTTTGTGAAACTTGTGCCCACATTTTAGCACACGCACATTTTTGGATTTGAATACATCATGGCATAGTTCACAGGAAGCTGCCCCCGATGCCTGTGGAGACAAACGTGTCCCAGTAATAAGGAATAGCTCAATTCCTTTCTATTACATAAGCTCTTTCTACAAGTGGCCTTTATATACTTTTGTCATTAAGGTGGCAAATTACTCCCAATTATAGCTAAGCAGGCTGAGGGAACAACTTATTTTTTAATAGCAGTTCTTAAGAAAAATTACAAACACACAAAAAAGAAAAAATACACTTTTAAAGTTCTAATTTTCTCATAGAAAAAAAATGTTTTATATGGCTAATAGGTTCCCAGGAAATTATTACAAATTTCTAATTATCCCAAACCACACCCAAACTATAGTATGAATATTATAAATTAATCGCTCATCTAATTATCTAACAGTTGGGGACAGAAACATAAATTATGAAACATCCACCCCATGGACTACTGTGGGGCTAACTGACATCATGATGGAAGTCCACAAATCCCTGACCCAAAAAGCTGGTGACAACCACCCTCTGAATAAAAGCAGATTATAAAACAGTACGTATCATATAATCATATAATTGTTTTTTCTGAAATAAGGAGAACGAGCAGAGAGAGAGATACCTTATTAAGAGCCTGGAAAGATCTAGAATGTGAACAGCAGTTACTTTCAGTTAAGAGATTTAACTTTTTTCTTTGCTATTTTCTAAAGTTTCTATGAATGTGGATTACGTGTGCAAATCCAAACAAAACAAACTGACGGCTCACTCAGCAAACATCTGAGGTCAGAATTGTGCGGGGCTCGAGGGCACAGAGCTGAATGGGAGAGTTTCCGGCTCAAGCAGCACACAGTCTGGTGAGCACAGACAGCATTTTCTGTGAAAGCAGACCCGAGTGCCACCCAGGACACCAGGTACAAGGTCCCCCTACAACTCACGGCACCTACCCACACTGCACCGTTATTTTCCAATTCCTCCTCCCCTCCCAACTCTGAGCACCCTGAAGGCAAGGAAGCAGTCCTGTTCATCTATATCCTTAGCAAATGGCACAGAACCTGGCCCCAAAAGGATTCTCCATAAACTGTCAGGCGAGTGAATGAAAGCAGCCCTGGCCGTGGGATTAAGGTCAGGGATGCAGATGGGGACAGTGTCTAAAGGCTCTGAAGACCCTGAACTGCTGACTGGGTTTTCTGTCTCTCCCCCGGCACTGATGGGGTAGATACAGTAAAATGAGGTGCTCTGTCTCCACTCTGTGGCTCCTGAGGGGAGGGTCAGGGAAGCAACGGAAGTGTCAGTCCCACGGAAGGGCAAATTAAGGCCTCTGCAAAGCTCAGAGCTAGGTTTGGCTTGAAAAACCCTGTTAACTGGACTTATTTTTATTAGCATGAAAAGATGGGCACATACATTTCTAAGTAGGAAAAAAAAGACACAAAAAAGTGTATATAGTTTTGACTAAATTCACATATACACACACAGACAAAGGAGTTTAGAAAAATACATACTGATATCATAATACTGGTTACCTGAGGGTGGGTTTTGGGGTTCTTTAAAGGCTTTTAATTTGTATTTGCTACTATGAACAGTATACATACTGCTTTTGTAATTTGAAAAGATTAAGCAAACTACTTTTAATTTTTAAAAAACTACCTATAATTATCAAACGAAGTCCCAGTTTGAATACATAGTCTTCTTATAAGTCAGCTTGTACAACTTTATGATCACCAACAACCGTGAAGCAGAAAGTAATCTCTCCCCTGAAGGTGACTGCATTCTATCTCAGGCGGGGGTGGGGGGGCTGTCAGGGAGGATGCTCTGAGAATTCGGCCCGGCTGGAGGACCACACAGCACCTGGCCAGTCAGCAGCCCAGGGAGAGGGAGGCACTCCGGCGGGGTCCTGCAGGAATGCTCCGCGTGCTCCTAAGCACTCTGACTGGAGTCAGATGCTCTGGGAAATGAGTGTATGTGGTTTGGAGAATATCCAAAGAATAGTGGACAATGAAAATATAAAGGAGGAATAAAAACATAAGTTCACACAAAGATTCGCTGTTTAGTTCAAGCCAGCAAACTAGTACTCTGTGCAATCAGGGATCGCTGACTCCACTGCGGGGCCAGAAACTCTTCTAATTTTCATTTCGTTTAAACTCTGATACCAGGGAGCCCGAGTGGCTCAGTCAGTTAAGCACCTGCCTTTGGGTCAGGTCACGATTGAGTCCTGGCATCAGACTCCCTGCTAAGCGGGGAGTCTGCTTCTCCATCTCCCTCTACTCCTCCCCCCACTCATGCTTGCTCATGCTCTCTCAAATAGATAAATAAAATCTTTAAAAAAAAATAAACTGATATCACAGTTGGACAAAAGGGGAAAACATGCTTTATAGCAGAATTTAACCAGAGCACGCAGCCCTGAATGGCCTCTTTCAACCACGTTTGGTTCCTACTACACAGTCCCTAGCATCAGCTGGGTCCATGTGGCGAGGATTAGGGAATTACACGCTACACACCCAGACCGAATGAAGGAGTGCTGGCAAGCGGCATGAATCATCTGTGCCTCGGTTTCTTCGTTATAAAGACAAGTATAATGCCTTATCAACTGAGATAACTACCACAGTATTTTATGGGGGGGGGACTATGTAAAAGTAACATTCTTACTGCCCGAAAGAACAAAAAACATTTTAAACCTGTATATCAAATTAAGGCAAGTTTAGCGCATTCCAGTGCCCCTCGCCCCATTAAGGCACTCGAGGGGAGAGAGAAGGGAAGCAACCAGACTTGCCTGAACACAGAGTTGGACCCTGACCCTTCTATTCCAGCACGTCATCCAGACAACAGCCACAACAAGCAGGTATGATCTGAGCTCACAGTGCGACTAAATGACAGAACCAGGTCTGGGATTCCAAAGCCCGTAGTGACACGGAATAAAATGATTCAAAAATCATTTTCCCCAACTATTCAAAATATCACACTTAATATAAAAATTAACTTGTATTTGACTGTCAGTAGGCCCAGTTCCCACAATGTGGCCAGAACTCCCCTGGTCTCTCTAGTGCAGAGGCTTCTCCCAACAGGGACCCCCAGATACCCACAAAAGCAGAGATGACCTCACTGTTCCACAGACTGTTCTAATGGGACACTCAAGTACATCTAAATTTCGTCTCTAATATTTTTTAAAGATTTATTTGTAAGACAGAGAGTGAGAGAGAGTGCACACACACGAGTGGGAGAGTGGCAGAGGGAGAGAGAGAATCTCAAGCACACTCCCTACTGAGTGCAGAGCCTGTCAAAGGTCTTGTCAAAGGTCACCACCCTGAGACCATGACCTGAGCCAAAATCAAGAGTCCATGCTTAAGTGACTAAGCCATCCAAGAGACTGTAATATTTTTTTTAAAGTAGGTTCCACGGCCAACATGGGGTTCAAACTCACAACCCCAAGGTCAAGAGTTGCACACTCTACAAACTGAGCAAGCCAGGAGCCCCTGGTTTCTAATTTTAAGATCAAATAAATTAGGTCTAGAAATGAAAAGAATGGGGCTAAATCATGGATTAACTATTTTGTACATTAAAAAAACAAAACTGACTCCACTGTCACACATGTAACACTCACAGGGGAATCTTCTGTCTTCTGTCCCTTGGTTTTGGGCGATGGTCCAGCAATCACGGAGGGTGGACCCTGGGAGGCCCTGGTCACAGAAGCAGCAGAGTTGGCCTCAGATAATTTCTTATCCTTTCCTGAATTTGAATTTGGCTACAGAGATAAAGTGGGTGGGCAAAGAAGCAAGTTGAGTGACCCAGGTCTTCTATCTTTACTGAAGTGTTCTCCAGATTTTGGCTGGATACAGCTTTTTTTTTTTTTTTTTTTTTTTTGCTTTTTTTTTTTTGCTTTTTCTCATTCTCATATTTTATAAACAAAGTGGACCATTTTATTGTAGCTGGATGGAACACTGACCTTTCTCTTTTTCTGTTCATCCAGAATGTGTTCTGTCACTCGTTGGACAATTTCATCAATACTCAATCCCGAGAGCGAGTTCTTGTTCTTGTTTCGTACTTTTTTAATAAAACCAGCAAGCTCAGTGCTAAAAAAAAAAAAAAAAAAGGAAGTGGAGATAAATGACAAGAGAAAGTCAAAGTTTTCTACTACATGGAAATATTATGTGCCAACATTAACCCAACACCTATAAGAAAGAAACCAAATACATACAAACAAAATTAAACAATGGTAACTGTACATAAAAGCAAGAGAATCACTCTTTACAAGTAGTTATGAAAATTCCAGTATTATTTCTAAATATTTATTTTACTAGAATTTCAAAGTAACAGAACAGTTTAATCTGCTAGATCCATCTGGGATATCTGTATCTACTCTGAAACCAAATTTCATATAGGCTGGATATATTGTAGCTTTATGCTAAATCAATGACTGATCAGACAACACCGGTTCTGACTTGAAATCAGTAAAATCTCCTTTACCTAGGGGGAAACTAGATTTGATGACTGCCTCCTAGAGTCAATTATCATATGGTTTCACTTATTTGTGGAGCATAACGAATAGCGTGGAGGACAAGGGGAGATGGAGAGGAGAAGGGAGTTGAGGGAAATTGGAAGGGGAGGTGAACCATGAGAGACTATGGACTCTGAAAAACAATCTGAGGGTTTTGAAGGGGCGGGGGGTGGGAGGTTGGGGGGACCAGGTGGTGGGTATTAGAGAGGGCACGGATTGCATGGAGCACTGGGTGTGGTGCAAAAACAATGAATTCTGTTACACTGAAAAGAAATAAAAAAATAAAATAAAAACAGGAAAAAAAAAAAACAACCTGACAACAAGGTTTTCAAAGTCTGAATACTTCACAAGTACCAGTGGATAGAATTAAACCATTAATCAATAGCAACTTGATATTTGAAGCACTAATACCTCAAATGTTTTAATTTTCAGAAAATCAGGATGCATTTCTATTCAGTTGTTTAAACTCTCCCCAATTTAGTCAGGATTGCAAACCATTTTATTTGTAAGGTACTTCTGATAATTATAATGAGCATTTTTTTTAAAGATTTTATTTATTTATTTGACAGAGATCACAAGTCGGCAGAGAGGCAGGCAGAGAGAGAGAGGAGGAAGCAGGCTCCCCACTGAGCAGAGAGCCTGATGCAGGGCTCGATCCCAGGACCCTGAGATCATGACCTGAGCTGAAGGCAGAGGTTTTAACCCACGGAGCCACC